CTTGGCCACAGGCAGCCTGGACCGCAGGCTGAGCAAGTGCACAACGGTGGTGGAATGTGGCTTCGCCGTTTATTGGCTACACTGGCCTGTAGCAAAAGCAACATTCCTATTGTTGTGGCAGCCAGCTGTGCGCTCCATGATAGCTGTGACGGTAAAGAGGAAGGTTTGATGCCAGGGCCAGGGGGTCGAGACAGATCACTTAGCCACCAGGCACCAGGGCGATAAGGAGAGCACATCGAGGGGCACTGCAAATCCCAGAGGCTTTGAAAAGCAGCTGTGTGAATGGCCAGCCAGTGATACGCCAGTCGTGTGTGTTGCTCTTAGGGAGGTGCGTCCTGCCTCCCCTTCGCCCCATGCAGCACATGCAATCTCCTACGCCGCCGTTCTCCTCCGTGCCCGGGCTGCGCGTATGGATTGCGTGTGCTTCTTGACCATGTCATCCCCGTTACAGTTTTGCCTTCCGCTCTGTGCTGGCTGGAAGGGCAGGGGGAGTGGTTAGCAGGCTCACTGTGGCACCTGCACTAGCAGAGAAAGGGAAGGGTGGACGCTACAGGAGTGTGCACGAGTCTCATGGGCAAGGCCAGCGTTCTGCTTTTGAGTGCCCGCTACGCAGCAGGCAGAGCAGAGATCTGGGAGCACCTGGCGTTGCTTTGGTGGCAGGCGTGGTAAGGAGCAGCTCAGGACTCGCTCCTTTGCTTCCACTTGGAAAGCACGTGCAACACCGTGCCTGCAAGTAGCACCCCCAGTGGGTGGGCATTTACATTTGCAAAGGGGGGCCACGGTGGCAGGGCAGCAGGGAAGGGGCTCATGTGGTAACCGTGTGTTCAGTACCCATTTGCCAAAACTTTCCCTCCCCTTCCCTTCCCCCAGTAGCCTATGGGTGGGGTGGGGGGTCCGGGCAGGGCAGCATCCTGTTTTCCTGGAAGGTGAAACTTTCCCTTCCCACAGATGCTTGAGGGCAGGAGTTCCTGGCTGCCAGTGAGATCAGATGCTTCACTCACCTGCTGACCATTCTTCTCCTCCTCCTCGAGTTATTTACTTATTCCCACAATATAAGAACTAGGGGACAGCAGATTTAAAACAAACAAACAAAAGGAAGTTTTTCTTTACGCAGTGCACAGTCAACCTGTGGAACTCCTTGCCAGAGGTTGCGGTGAAGGCTAGAACTTTAACAGGGTTCAAAAAGGAGCAAGATAGATTCATGGAGGTTAGGTCCATCAATGGCTATTGGCCAGGAGGGGTACGAATGGTGTCTCTGGAAGTGGGAGATGGGCGGGGTTACGTGAGAATTATCAGTTGTGTTCCCTCTCTCCGGGGCACTGGGTGCTGGCCACGGTCTGCAGACAGGACACTGGGCTGGATGGACCTTTGGGCTGACCCGGTCTGGCCGCTCTCCTATTCCTCTTTCTCCACGCTGCTGCCTGTAGAGTCTCTTGGGAGGAGCCCGCGGACTGGCGCGGGACACTGTTGGGTCCCCCTAGAATTCCCTGGAGCGACAGGCTTGTGGCACTGACCCAACCGCAGGCGCCTGTCGTGGCTCCAAAGTCGAGCTTTCCCTCTAAAGCAAGGGTTCGAATTCTTGCCAGCGCTCCAGGGGAACGAGGGCACTTCATCGCTAATGCAGCATGAATAGCAATTGTTCATGTCACTGCTTTGTATATTAAGCCAGTGACCCAAAACCGGAATGGGGCTCTAGTGCTGGTGAAGGCAGTGGTCCGAGTCCCTCCTTCATCGCCAAGGCAGCAGACGGGCACAGATCTCCCCCGCTTTGCCTGCCTCCCCCCTGGGCATCAGAGGCTGGCCAGTTAGTGCCAAGTGTGTGGGGCCCACCAGCCTTCAGTCCCAAGTGAGCTGCCTAGGCTGAATGTGGGGAACAGCTGCACAACCCTTCAGCCATATCTGGAGGCACCGATCCCCACAAGGGTCAGAGGGATTATGGAGGGGTTGCTCCCTGCTCCAGGCTTAAGTCTGAGGTGATTGGCTCTACAACGAGGGGTTCGGCTGCTTTTGTATGTGTGAAAAATACCCCGTAGCCCTGTGCTTAGGGATCGGAGGCAAGCCCTGAGAATTCCCAGTCCAGTCGTAGATTTGAATTGGGTTTTTGTTATTCCGGCGTCTCTTGCTACTGGAATAGCGCAGCCGTCACCCCTCTGAGCGCTGGCCACCTGCAGCCCTTTTCGGATCACTCCTCGCTTTGATTCCCTTGGGCGCTTGTGTCCGAGGGGGGCGGGCCGTTCTTGGTGTTACAGGGCAGTGGTTGCCTGAGCCTCCAGCTCAGCTGCTGAGCCCTGCCCTGCTGGGGAGTCTCCTGGGGCCCTGCATTCCTGTGGCCTCCCGAGTCTCTGCTCCTGCCCAGCTGCCGTTGCCCAGGGCGTTGCACCACTTGCCAGTGGGGGAGGAGGGCTGGCGGGGAGGCGGCAGAGCTGGCAAGGAAACCGGGGAGTGGGCCCATTGCAACGCGCCTGGGGTTGTGCACAAGAACCCTCCAGCGCCACAGGGCCCGGTGTGGGTGAGAAACGTGCCGTGTTGACACCCCCGGCTGCTTCTGGTCAGCAGTTTGAACTCCCCTGCCCTGCAGCCAGGTGACTGGCAGCCGGCCCGGCCCCATTTCCTGCTGCCTGGGTCCCCTGTGAGCCGGCTCCGTGGGTGCCCAGGCCTGGCCGCTGCACCAGACGCTCCCCGCAGGCCGCCACAGAGCCGCTGGATCGGATCGGTGCATGGGGCAGGGAGTCTGTCCAGTCCCAGCTGCAGGTGCCGTAGGAACCGGGGCAGGTAGGGCACGTTTCTTGATGCGTGTGTGAAGGGGGGTGAGCGGGATACGTGCAGGGCAGTGACGACGGAGAACTGAGGCTCCCGTGCTTCACCCTAGACCTGCTGTTTCTATAAGGAGCAGGACACGAGGTGGTGACCCCACCTCCACCACCGAGGGCCCCTGGCTATGTTGGAGGGCACAGGGCCAGTCCCCGGAGGCCCTACCCCACTGGAGGAGATTGTAGATGAAGAGTTTAAGGAAGACGCGGCCTGGGGCTCCCCCACGTGTGTCTGGTGGCCAGGAGCTGTTCTCTGCTGCCGAGGGACGCAGTGCAGGGCTGAGGGCCTGGGCACGGGGGCTGTGCCGTATTCCCGAGGAGCCAATCCCTGCGGCTCAGTGCCGCCTGCAGAGAAAGGCCGTTGAAACGTTGCCGGAGGCACTTGTGGATGTTCTGCCTCAGCGTGGGCGGCAGCGCAGCTTTGTCCCTCCCCCGCGGGGCCCGGCCCATGCCCTGTGTTCTCGTGGGGGGTGTCCCACACGGCCATTGCCAGGCGCTTCTGCGCCAAGGGGCCTTCGGGGCAGCTCGCGCACAGCGCCGGGAGGGCTGCTTTACCCACCCCGGAGCTCTGGAACCGCTGGTCTTCGGCCCACCCCTCCGTGCTGGTTCCCCGACCCGAGAGCACCCGTCCACCCTGGGGCTGCCAAATGCATGGGGCAGCTCCTCTGCCAGTGACTCCCCTGGGTGAGGTCCTCGGGACAGTCAAAGGCGCATGCGAGAGATGGGCCCCGCGTTCCGTGGCCCACGGCTGGCGTAGCCATGCACCGTGGGATACATTCCCACAATGCATTGCAGCCACGGTCCCCATGGGAGCTAAAAGTATGGCCCCAATCTGTCAGCGGAGGAAGGCGAGGCAAACGTACTTTTGGCGATTTCTGTGTCGCCCCGTGTCCTCGACCCAGCCTGGTAGTGCAGACGCCCCAGGGAAGGGAGCGTGCCCCCGGCTCCTTGCCCCGCCCTGCCCTTTGGTCTCCCTCCTGTGTGTCCGCCGGTGGTGGGGCTGCCGGTGAGGTGCGTGTGCTGGGATGGCCAGGCTGAGAGCAGCCTGCAAAGGGCTTATTGGCATGTCCTCCTGTTCCTTCTGTGCAAAGGCTGAGCTGTGTCCGTGGCTAGCTTGTGAGCATCCCGCCGGCCCTGCCTTGGGGGGTTAGCGCTCCCGGGCACCTCCTGCCCCACTGGGAAAGGGGGGGGGGGCGGGGCCGCCCGAGGAGGGGGAAAGCCCTGGGCTAGCCTGCAGCCTCTGCTTACCTTAAGCTTACCTTGGCTTGCCTTGCCAGCCCTGGGGGAGGGGAGGCAATAGAGTTCCTCCCGGGGCTAGTGCTGAAGAAACTGCAGAAAAACCAACCAGCCCCCAGGGCAAATCAGCATCTACCTCCAGGCTGCAGGGTCTGCTCCCTCACCCTGTCTGCACCGGCCCAGGGTAACCAGCCCCATGTGGGATGCCCCTACGGCCCCATGCACGGAGGTTGCAATCCAGGGAACGCCCCTTGCTTGGGAGCACCCCCTGGCCAAGGGGTCTGTGGCACATGCGCAGCAGGGCTGAGCGCGCCGGGCGTGTGCCGAGAGGGGGTGGGGTGTAGCGCCGGCGGGTCCGACACCTGGGAGGCTGTTGAGGCGGGTGCCAGGCCCCACGCTTGCGGAATGCAAACGGCCCTTCTGCCCCGGCAGCAGCATGAAGCGGGTTCTGGGCGTGGGGGGGACCCAGGAGGCCTGCGTTCAGCTCCCAGCTCCGCCGCTGGCGTGAGGCTTCCGCCTGGGTCAGCGCTCCCCGACGGGCTGCGGACTCCCCACAGCGCTGCGTGGTGCCTGGCCGCGTGCAGGGTGCCTGCTAGACCTGCGTGGCCCAGCGGGCCTGCCACTGCTTGGGCCAGCCTCGGCAGTGAGCACAGCCCCGGCCAGCCTGGCAGGGCCCCGGCTGCCCCCAAGGCCACGTCTGGAGGGGCCGCTTGCTAACCCTGCTCCCCTGTGCTCTCTCTGCAGCTGCCCCCTTCCCTGATGTCTGGCGTCTCGCTCCCTGGCGAGTACAAGCCCCCGGCCGCCTTTGCCAGCAGCGCTGATCGGGAGGGCCTGCTGCCCCATGCGGGCGTTGCAGACTTGGCCAGTCGCTGCCAGTACCCAGAGGGGGGGCCCGG